GGAGGAGGCGAAGGAGATGGAGGTTAAGAAGAGGGAGCTGCAGGTGAGGCTGAGGCAGATGGAGAAGGATCTTGGTGGTTTGATGAGAATGTGATGATACCCTTATGAGATATGAAAATCCTGAACCTGATAATCAACCGTCTATAACATACGGGAGAAATGCCTCCTAATTCTTAGCAAGCAGGTCTTCTCTCGCCATAACGAGCTTCTCAAGAATATCTCCGACTTCCTCCGCTCCATCAACGCTATACTTGTCATTGATGATATACCGTGGTACGCCCCTTATGCCCTTTTCTTGCATCTCACGAACCTCATTATCAACCTCCTCAACCCCATCCTCACCATCTAACCACACTCGCGCTTCATCCCTCTCAATACCCGCCTTAACCGCCGCGGTCACTAAATCCTCCTTGCTAGTGATATCCCCGCCATCCAGAAAATACATCCTCATAACCTCCAGCGCAACCTCCGTCTCCTTGCCCCTAATGCGCCCCAGCTTCTCCAACCGATGCGCATCTCTGGTATTTCCAATCGTAGAGTTGAAGTTGAACTCCACACCCTCTTGTTTGGCGATACCATTGAGGCGGGCTTTGACTGAGGGGACTTGGTCCTCTCCCCATTTCGATGCTATCTTCGTGATGAGGGGTTGTGTGGGTGTATTGGGATCCAGCTGGTAAGCGTGCCATTTGGTAGTGATAGTGTCGGTTGAAGAGACGGTTTTGAGATAGAGAGCTATGGCGCGGGATAAACGGAGGGCGCCGATGAAACACCAGGGACAGACGGGATCTGATATGACGGTCACAGAGATCGAAGGCATCGTGGTAGCTTTTGTTCGTGACGACCTTTAGAGAATCTGGAATGAGATATTGAACTGGGTAGTGAAGATGTGATGGAAATATATAAGAGCAGTTTCAGCTGGGATCGGGTGTAAAATACACCGGAGACGGACGACCTTTGGTCAACTCCGATTTATAAATGCTTGTGCCCGACGCCATGTCTGAACTTTCAGGAGAGAGCGGGCATAGGCTCCTCAAGGGGGCGGAATTCCGCCCATCAAAGAGTTCTGCTTCGTAAGCTATGATTTCACCGCAAGCTTGTAGTGAGCCTCAGATCATTCCAACACATCTAGTAGCAATGCAATTCGTTATTCATCATTCAGTGGAGAATGTTCTCCGGGTATAATATTCTATCTTGCCTTGTGCAGGCTCCAACACTTTATCATGCCTGACTAATCTCTATGCGGTCTTCCGTATGGTTCGTGTCTATACACTTCTCGGGTTCGCTGTTCTCGGCCCCGGGGACGATAAAAGTCTCCCTGTCTTCGTGATGTGACCCAATTACGTGCGTTGACGTTCTTAGGCTGGCGTTGGGCTTGGTTTGAACTGCCAACCCCTCCAGATTCAGCTCTAGGGCTGCTTGGTGCAGATAGGTCGTATTGAACAGCCCTATCCCAGTCCGCAAGCTTTGTATATGGACTTCTAAGCCATGCTCTTAGCTCGTGCAGGAAGAGGCGCGTGCTGTCTCGGCCCAGAAAATCCGAAATCATCTCCTCGGCTTGGCCAGCACTGCCCATGATATCCACGGATTTCAAAATCGCAATGATGTATTCGAGGAGGAACTCAGCATTGTTGGCTCTTCTTCTGGCAACTGCATCTCTCTGTGAATTCCCATCGGGTCTTGGTTCTGTCTGGTCGGCATCGGGGTTTAAGAAGGAAAACACTTGCAGCTCTCGACGAATCCACATTCGTGCACGAGAGACCAAGTCGCTATCTGAGCAAAATGCTGCTGGTGTCAGTTCGCGGTATCGAGACAAGCGATTCGACCCGACATGTTTAGAGTATCTGTTGTGGCGATACACATCCCTCCGCTTCGCGATCTCGTCTGAAGGATTCGAGCTGGCGGTTACGTATCGTGGTTGACGGGAATATGGACGATGGTGTAAGTGACGCCGGCGGGAACGAGGAGGGAGCGCAAGTCTTGGGTGTCCAATTTGTGGTGCTCGGGGCTCTGACGCAGGCTCGGGCACAGTGTATGTGTTTGCGATAGGTCCATCGAGGCCGTGGCGAACTTGTGAGATGACAGCTTTGCAGAGCGGGCACTTCGGTGATTGCTCAAGCCAGCTGAGAAGGCAGAGATAATCAAAGTTTTTGTGTTGACAAGGAATAGCCTCACATGCTTCAGAGATGCTTTCGAGGCAGATGACGCAACAGTCGGTGGCGTCTTCTTGCCTGGTCGCTATTTCGTCAAGGGTGCTTTGTAAGACTTGGCGTTGGAGATCAGCTGTGTTTTGGTCTGTTTCCATAGCGGAATGGGGGATTAGAGACGCGATAGGGCTGGCCACCTGGCGCGCATGTGGTAGTGTATCCAAACCACCCAGGTAAGAAAGCGAAGATAAGATGCTATCGTTTGGTGTAGTAGTATGAAAAGAAGATGATGAACGATGAATTAGGCATGGAGTAGAAATGGAGGACTTGATTCAGGTGGGGTTCCGGAACCACATAGTACGTATCAAAGTTCAGAGCGGGTGGGCCCGTTAGGTAGCTCCTCCCATATTCCGCACCTTCCCTGCAACTGTCATGACGTGAGACCTGTTTTCGCGTTGAGTGGTTCGCGTCCCGCATTGGCAGTTGCAAAGGGATCCATCTATAGACGCGTTTATCTCAATCGCGACACTCAATTCCACTTTCCCTCATGACCATTGTTGCTTGCATGTTTCTTCCAAATTCCGATTTTCACATAAACTCATATACGAATAAAAGATTTCATGGCTATAGCAATGGACGAAAACTTGAGAGCAGCTTATGAAAGTCAATCACAGCAACTGCGCATCGACTTGAAGACCTGGGAGACAGAATGGGCAAAGACACACGAGGGCACGAAGCCAGGAAGAGGAGACATCAAGGCCAACGAAGACATCGGTAGGTCTTTAGAGCAAAAAAATAACCAATCTGCTAACCATTGCACAGCTTTGAAATATAAACAATACAACAAGGTTCGAGATATACTCTCGGGCAAAATCCCACCTCCCTCGAAGGAACCAAGGAAGCGGAAATCCGATACTCTACCAGCACAAACACCCACCAAACGTACCAAAAACACCCAGACTCCCTCCAAGAACCGTACACAAGACCATGATGAGGAACTCATGAACACCCCAGCCATATCGCGAAAGCTGTTCAGTCCCGCGTCGGTGACCTCAGTGGGTCCAACACCACAAAGAGATGGTCGCGTGCTTGGCCTCTTTGACTTATTGGTAGAGAAGGAGCTAGGAACACCGTCGAAACAAGATTCTGCGACCAAATCAGGGTCCACACGAAAGGTCGATGCAACTCCGAGCAAGCGATCAGCTGCCATGGATGACGAGGAGAACGACAGGCTTGGCCGAACCCCTATGTCATCCAGTAAACGACAAAGACTGAACCACTTCATGACCCCGTTGAAGAACAAGGATGGAAACAAGGACGCCGTTACGCCCTCTTCGGTCTCGAAACTCGAATTCGACACACCCGCGTTCTTGAAACGCAATACTCTACCGGTTCTTGACGAGAATGGCGATTTTGATGCCCCGGCACCCCTGCGGCTACCGCGCAAGCCTTTCACACGAGGTCTCAGTGAAATTGTGGCGAGTCTTCGAAAGGTGGAAGAGGAGAACTTGGACGACGACTTGGACGCATTACGCGACGCTGAAGAAGAAGGAATGGGTGAACCTAGACCCAAGACGTTATTCCCGTCGAAACCAAAGGATGATATTCTGGTTGAGGACACTCAGACACGGCAATTACCACTTGGTGGTTTCGATGATGAAGCCATGTACGACAGCCCAGTGGAGGAAGATGGTAACCCGACTAGAGTGTATAAGAAGAAGGGTCAGAAGCGAACTACAAGAATGGTCAAGATGCGTCCAACTCGAACCAAGCGACCGGAGAACATGGGAGAGAATCCTCAGAGTGATATTGAGAACGATGAAACGCAAGCTGGTGGTGAATATGCTGGATCTGATTTCGAGGAAGTAAAGGAGAAGAAGCCCACACAGAAGAAGGAGGGCACTGTGAAGAAGGCCGCGCGAAAGGTCAATGAGCTGGCTCACGCAAACTTCCAACGGCTGAAGCTTAGGAACCACGGAGCAAAGGGTGGTCCTGGGTTTAATAGTAGATTCCGACGACGAAGATGATGAATCGATTTGGTCATGGGCAAGAGGGTTATTATGAGATGCATTGCATGGCGTTCTGATTCAAGGCATACACTATACCAACAGACAAAGAGAAGTCAATTGTTAGATCGTCCAGTTCAGCGTAAATGAGCGTTGAAGCTAGAAAATAATTGAGAGCCTCTGAGATTCATTTTGATCATCTACTTTTTAAATCCCGTATCACATGCCCATTTCTAGGTACCTTTCTCTCTTTATAAGGAAGAGATGGAGTTCTTGCTAGAAGGTTGCATACGTGGGGCTGTGGACCGTTCAGTTTAGTGCATTCTCACTCACAGCTGCCGACAGGAGCCACCTCAAGTCTTTCATAGAATTGGATTGACATTGATTCACTGAGTGAGTGGCCTTGAAGATCAAACAAAGAAGCTCGATCACAATACAGACACACAATCGTCTCGCTCCGGCTTCTTCTGCTCTCTCCCTTCATAAAACATACAGATACACGCTCCTCTCTACCTAAATCAACCCTCCCTTTGCATACGACGAACGCTTCGAACCTTTCGCGTCTTTGTGATCACACTCACTCATCTGGCAGCGTTGAAATTGAGGCTTTCCAACGATCCCTATTCGCGTCTTAACTCTCTTTATTTTGCTTTCTCATTGTTCCTGTATACAAAGCCTGACCTGTCTACATGGGATTCTCTTGGCATTGTCAGACCAGTTGTACTCATCAAAAGATGATACGGGAGGTGTAGACTGCTTGGTGTTGTCTTTCCATCGAGTTTTTCGCATACAAAGATCCATTATTTCCATTGCTTTTAAGCATGCAGTGGTATACGCCTTATACCTCAAAATGCCTGTAAGGTTGTATCTCAAAACCAGAATGGCTCGGCTGTTGACGCTGACTAGCATATCGATCTTGACGATGATGTTGTCGATTTAACGCTAGATGAGTTCCAGAAAGAAAATAAGTTTATCGACCTAACGCTAGAGAATTTCGAGAACCCGGACATCAATTGGCTCACAGATCACAATGGCGACGTCGACGGTGTGTTGGAAGACGCCTTTGCTGCGAGGGAGCCTCATGCGGCCACCACCACTACCAGTCATGATGCACTTAAAATGTGGACCAAGTTTGGTGAGATGGAGGAAGCGGAGGAGGAGGAGGAAGAGCTCATGGATCTCCCGCAGCAGGTCGACTTGTCCCCTAACTCTCCCACCCAGAGCCCTCCTGACTACGTCCCAAGCCCCGAACACCTCGTCGCAGACAAGTACCCGGAAATGCCTGAGCTTCCAGCGTCGTGCGTCGTGGAAGCTGTAGATCTTGATTTAGAACTTGGTGATGCAGGTGCAGGTGCTTCGGCTGAAATAGTGGAACAAGAAGACGTTGCATTGGAAGAGACGCTGGACGTCCCTGTCAGCGCGAATATGAGCGTTGAGTTCCCGGAGAGTCTGCTCCTGGTACCAAGGTCGTATTACGAACCATTCGAACCGGATGTTCCAGTCCTTAAGGAACGTGAGGCTGTTGCTCGACTGCTCGAGGTGGCTGAAGAGGCCGGTCAGGGTATTGACCATGACGACTTCGTTGAGTTCCAACTTGACGATTTTTCAGTCTACTCCGATCGTCAAAAATACGGCCAGGAGATGTGCTCTCTCCACCACCTCCACACAAAACATGGCTTCAATACTGTCTTCTTTGACGGAAAACTGAGTGTTGGTAATACTGCTTTCTACGTTCACCGTGTGGAAATCAGCGCATTGCCGATCGAGAACTACGGTACATTATCAAAGCACACTGTCAAAGACAAAATCTGGGTACGATCAGTGTTTAACACTGAACGCGAGATATACTACCGGTTGAATAGCCCTGCCAAGGAATATCGTCGTTTCTTTGACCCGTTCTTGTGGGTTGCAGATCTCGCAAAGCATTTCGTGGATTACCTCAAGTTCAAGGGGGAGGAAGACGACCAAGTTACGATCTTCCATTTTAGATCAAACTTCAGCATTTGGCTGGCGAAAAGGCACCGCCATGCACCAGATTTCATCTCGTGGAAGGGGCAGCACGTAAACGATGATTTCAGGACGGCGATTGTGGCCAATATTGCATTTTTACACAAGGAAGCGATCGGTGTTCTTGGGCATAGAAAAACATACAAGCATGTTATCTGGGCCGAGGTTTGGGAGTTTACGCGATACAAACCGTGCCCAAAGATTGGGCCCAGCGAAGACACAGATACTGTCGTTACCCAATACATTTACGACTGTTTCAGTCACCAGCCATTCGGCGACCGTCTCAAGGCCATTCCTCTGAGTGAGACTACTCAGTCTTTGCAAAATGCACTGATAAAGCAACGCCATCTGGAATTACCAGCGCCAGTTCATGATAGTGGTAAGACCATAACAACGGCTGGAATTAAGCAAATTCGAGCGATTCGAGCAGGTGACACAATCTCGACCCAAAGAGATGCCGAGGGATCTGGCACACAATGGCGACGTGACGTTGCGCATGGGTTTGATGACGTCGATCGATGGTTCGCCTTGGTACAGCGCGTGCGTGTCAACAAGCGTGGCCAGAGAACGTTCGACGTGATTTGGTACTATCGACCCGTAGACACCCTATGCGGTCTGATGAAGTACCCTTGGAACAACGAGTTGTTTTTGTCCGATCATTGCTCTTGTGATACCAGAGCAAAGATCTCCGAGGACGAAGTGTCAGGGGTTCACCAAGTCGAGTTTGGGGGGACTTCGGCGACTGAAGCCGAATTCTTTTGTCGCCAAACATATATATGCCAAGAACGAAATTGGGTTACCCTTGAGAAAGCCCATTTTCGTTGCATTCATCTGCGCGAGAGCTCTCCTCAGGCGCTGGGGTTACAAACTGGCGAAACGCGACTCATCATGATCAACAGGACTAGCGGTCGGTCCGAGCCTTGCGAGTTTCTTACCTTCTATGAGGAGGAAGGCAACGGTATATACAGGTTTCGGAAGTTGCTAAGAAGATACCAGGTTGATCCGGCATCCAAAGCTCGACCCAATGAGTTGGTGTACAGCTATATCGAGCCGCTTGTCGAGGTAAAAAGATCGCGCATTCTCGAGCCGTGTTTCGTGCGTCATTTTAAAGACGGGCAAGCAATACCAACGCCATATGACCGTGGCGGTGTGGGAGGGTTTTTCTATTTCACACACGAACAAGTTTCCGACAATGAGACAGGAACGAAGTTATATGTTGCGCTATCCGAACCTCCCTCGTCTATACAGCAGGGCTACGACCCATCGCAGTCTATTCCACGGCTTCGAGGTCTGGACCTCTTTTGCGGTGGTGGTAACTTTGGTCGTGGGTTAGAAGATGGAGGTGCTATCGAGATGCGATGGGCGAACGATTTTGACGCCAAGGCTATTCATACTTACATGGCAAACACTACTGGGCCCTCTGAAGTATCTCCATTCCTTGGGTCTATAGACGATCTCCAACGTCTTGCTATCGAGGGTGAGTTTTCAGACAATGTCCCACCGATTGGAGATGTGGATTTTATCTCAGGCGGTAGCCCTTGTCCAGGCTTCTCTCGGCTGACCAACGATAAAACAACTGCCGCTCAGCGGAAGAACCAGTCGTTGGTAGCAGCCTTTGCGTCGTGCGTTGACCTATACCGTCCACGATATGGTCTCCTTGAGAACGTTCCGGGAATCGTGCAAAAGACAGCCAATCGAGATCAAGACGTGTTCAGTCAACTTATTTGTGCCATTGTAGGCTTGGGTTATCAAGCACACTTTTTCTTTCTCGATGCTTCTGCCTGCGGTACCCCTCAGCGTCGTTCTCGTGTGTTCCTGGCTTTTGCTGCACCAGGCCACCGCTTACCTCACGCACCATATCAAACCCATGGTCACCCGCAAGATACCTCCAGGCTTAGTCTAGGTACTCTCCCTACTGGGGAACCTATGGCTGAGCGCGCTATGCCGGCTGCCACACCATTTGACTTTGTGTCTGCGAGGGCTTCCACTGCCGACCTGCCCCCTATTTATGATTCAAAGCCAGATATATGCGTACCGTACCCCGACCATCGGGTGTCTGTAGGCATCACGCCTCTAATGCGAGGTAGGATTCACCTCATCCCAACTCAGCCTTGGGGTATGAACTTCGCACAGGCCTGGTATGGTCGCAACCTGAAAAAGGCTGGTTCAGGTGTAATGACGCCAAGCGAGCGCCTAGCATTTCCTGAACGCACCGATAAGGGGTTGGGACGAGGAAACCCGAGCTCGAACGCATATGGCCGACAACGACCCGACCATCTCTTTGTCACAGTCGTCAAGACCCAAAGTCCGGACGATGCGAAGAACGGCCGCACGTTACACTGGCATGAGCCTCGCGTCTTGTCCATCATGGAGGCGCGACGAGCACAGGGGTTCAGGGACGAAGAAGTCCTGTTGGGTATCCCAAGTGATCAGTACAAAATCGTTGGCAACAGCGTTGCTCGTGAGGTCGCGGTGAGCTTGGGTGCTGTGTTCTGCGAGGCATGGATTCAGAGCCTCGCAGACGAGCATCACTCCTCCACTGCTGCAGTTCCTTCTGCGGTACCAGCTCGTATAGGTATCGAGGTTTCCCCTATCACCAATATCAGGAGACTTGAGTCCGAGTCAGCCTCCATCGAAAACACCCCACAATCTTCAAAGTCCAGAAGTGAATCTCGAGTCAATCAAGTTTCGTCTACACCGAGCTCGACTCCTCCTGCTCCTCCTCAAACGTCTACTAAGCGTAGCCGCATCGCTGTCGAGATCCACGGATCGAAATTTCTCCGGACAGACGAGTACAACAGCCCTAGCAAGGCCACGTCTGTAGCATCCAGCCGTTCCAAATCAAATAGGTTGCGGCACAGTAGCGCAGGTGAATAGTCTTGTATAGACTAATGTCGGAGCTCAGAAGAATACACATAGAAGTATGTCTGGTCATACGAACCTGTACTTCGAATTTAAAGGTGCGTGGGCATCACGAAACGGGGAGTCTTTCATATAGACTAGATACCTGTCACAGCTAGCTCTGTGGGCGTCAATAAGACGATAAGATGGACAGGATTTATAACAATATAATGGACCTAATCTATCATCCACTGCATTCCTGCCCATCGTGAATCCCATTCACTAACGTCTGAATAGAGATTAAGGAGAAGCAATCCCTCATATCTCTACACTGGAGGAATGATAAGCAACCACCGGGAATCGAGAGTCAGTGACAGATGGTAAACGAATAAATCGAAGCAAATTAAGAGTGATTCAAAAGTCATTACTGTCGTTGCGATAGCTCGCTAGTTGCTAACGTGGATAAACTGTTGAGAGAAAACATGCTACTCCAAAACTCCGATTCAACCTAATGCTGATATCGCCTTGCTCTTGGATGCACCCCTTCTCGTACCAAAAATAGCCAGATTCGATGTAACACGCTGAAGAAAACATATCGCTATTTCAAAGCCTCTTGCAGTATCGCGTCCCGTCCGTCTACCCTTCTACTCCGATGTCTCCAGATCCTTAAGGGTCATCACCTTAGCGCCCATAGGGATCTGACCACCTCGCATTCTAATGCTGGCGTAAGGGACACCAGATGCCTGTCCCAATATGGTCACCAACTCACGCCCTGAAACAATAAGGTCCTTGCCAGTATAACCCTTGATGGCGCATTCCTTGAAGATATGTCCAATCAGTCGCTCACCAAGGGTCTCGATGCTGCGGCCACTGGCCCAGCCTTTGTCGTTGCTCAAACGTTGGAGCAGTGAGAACAAAGATGTGCGAGTGGTAGTATCCATCTCTGGTGTTGCTTGAATAGTAATGCCCACCTTTCCAACAACTTGTCGTAATTGCTCGATACACTGCTCCGATCGAAGGGGACGGAAAGTGAACTCGGTTGCGAACCGACTCTTGATACCCTGATTACTACGAAGAAGACGGTCCATGTCCTCCTCGTAGCCTGCCAATACAATGATAAGCTTGCGTGCGAACTGAGGCTTTGTCACAGCATCAACAAGCTCGCTGACTGCTTCTTCGGCAAACGATCCACGAGCGCCATTGAGTCTGTAAGCCTCATCTATGAAGAGAACCTTGCCGAGTGCCGATTCGAGCAATCGGCGTGTCTTGGGGCCAGTTTGGCCACAGTATTCACCAACAAGCTGTGATGCCGAGACATCAACGACGTCTGGTGCGGCAATCAGACCCATGTCATAGAATATCTGGCCAAGTTTTCTCGCAGTCGATGTCTTGCCAGTTCCGGGAGGACCCTTGAAGACATAGGTGAAGGGCACATAGGGCCGAGGGTCGACATTGCGCAGTCGCATACCTTGCACCATGTACTGGTACGATTCGAACTTGGAGATGATTTCCTCGAAGCCTACAAACTCGTCGAACAATGCCCGCGTGTTTGTCGCAGCTTGTGATAGTCGATCGTAGTTGGCATCAAAGTCCTGAGGTTCTAGAGGAAGTTGATCAAGATCCTCATTATGTAATCTCTGCTCTTTGGCAGTGCGACGGAAACGTTCTGAGATGGCCTTGAATAAAAGATTGTCCACCTCACCGCCATTGCCAAAGTTTGGCCGGACAGAAGCTCGCTTCAGTACCTCCATAGCGACCTCGCGGGCCTTGTCGGTAGCAACCAGCTTCTCCTTTGCCAACTTGAGGTCTAGCACCTTACCCAAGGTATCCTCACTGAAGTTGTCGAAGACAAACGCATTATCCAGCGGGAATCTTCGGGCCAGACCGGGGTTGGCATTTGCATACAACTCCTTCATTTGGTCAGGGTAGCCGCAGAGGATAACACATCGATCCTCTCCAGCAGTTCCAGTTACCTCTGCAACAATCGTGTCGATGATGCCACCTCTGAAATCACCATTCTTGGAACTACCAGCACTTCCATTGGTGCCCGGGTCAAGCATGTGGGCATCATCTATGATCAGAACATTGCCCTTTGCTTCCCGGAGAGCCTCTTGCGTGTTGTTCTCCGATCCTCCGATGTAGCGATCGAGAAGATCAGCTGGAGTCTTGGTGACGACATCGCCCTTGGACAAGAGGCCGAAATCTGCTAGAATCCTACCATAGAGCTTTGCAACTGTGGTTTTGCCGGTACCTGGAGGTCCCAAGAAGACTCGGTTTGGTGAAACGTGCAAGGGATCGTCGCCACGCATTTCTCGGATATAGTTCTGGTTGACTTGGTTGACCACAGCAAGTATCGCCTCCTTAACATCGTCCAACCCAACGAGTTGTTGAAGCTCTTTCCAAGCAGGACTCTTCTCGGGGCCAAGAGAGGGCTTATTACCCAGTAGGTCTTCTTTGGTCATTTTGAAGTCTTCCGGGTAGTTCCCTGTCTTACGAGCTTGAATAAAGCGCCCAACTTGACGCCTGCAAGCTTCGACAAATGCCTTTTTGACTGGCCAGATGTTACCAAATGTCTTTTCGCTGGCCCCTGAAACGATTCTGCGGATCAGAATCTTGACATACAGGCCATCGTAGCCGTCCTCAACTTCCATTCTGCCCTTGAACCACTTTCGCATGAGGCCATGGAATATTATCTGTAGCTCTTCTGCTGTGTAATTTGGCAACTTCAGAACAGGAAAGTGATTGGACACCTCAGCACTGTAACCCATCAAGTCTGACAATCCCCATTCGCCATTGCCGGCTACAATGAGAACAATTTTTCCGGGCAGGTCTTGTGAGCGAACGTAGAGGCTCCATAGATTACAATCGTCGCTGTTCATTAAATGAGCGTGGTCAATGATGGCAATCTAACGAAAATTAGCGATCCCTAGCCTTGGTGATAGGGCATTCACTTACGCAGCCACCACAGGCATTGCTTGTGTTATGTATGGTGCCCAAAGTCGATGTTTTGGACATGTTGTATGCCGAAAATCTGTTGATTCCAGTGAAAACACCAGACTTCTTGACCACGCCAAGAGATATCAGGTATTTGGCATATAGGCGAGCCAGCATTGTCTTGCCTGTTCCCTCACCTCCCGTGAAGACTACATCAAAGTTCTCTTTCTTCAGGTCGGTCTCCCGCCTCTGAGCGGCCTTGACTTTCGCCTTTGCTTGTAAGAAGAAAGCCTTGACTTCTTCGAGGCCAGTTAAAGACATGACTCGGTCGAGGTACTTGTTCTCTGCCTTTTCCACCTTCTTTTGTCGCAACCACTCGATTCTTGATGGGGATTCATCTTGGCAAGCTTCGGGTTCTAGACCGTCAATCGATTCGTTGTCCGAGTCGTCGGTATCATCTTGCTGTGATTTTCTGGGGCGAATTAGTCGACGTTTCCAAGCATTCGAGGTGCGACTTACTCAATTTCATCCAGAAGATCTTCCATCATCTTGCACAGTTCCAGGAATGCTGGCTCAGCCAAGACAGGTGGCTCCTCTTCCACCACAGGTGCGTCCTCAGCTTCAGACTCGGAATCATCATCAGTCTCGTATGGAATATCACCGTATAATTTCCCTAGACCGAAGCCGTCCGTGTTTTGGTCGTCTGCATCTTGGTCATCCTCCTTGAGAGGCTCCTCAGGTACAACTACAGTCTTGGAACGATTGCGCCGCCTTCTCAAGCGCCGGCGGGGTTTGCGAGTTGGAAGAAGGCCGAGAAGACGGCTCACAAGGAAATGTGGTTCATCGGTCAGGAAGTCTCTTGCCCATGAAGGATACGTGGATTTTGGCTTGAGACCAAGTAGCCATGTGACGGAAAAGTTGATATCTGTAGATTCAAGCTCCATCATTGCATTGCACTGAAATGAAGTGAGGTGAACTGGATTGCACTGGAGCTGGTTTGTTTGCTCTAAGATAAAGCTACAACTCCCAAGTATGGGTTTCTCAACAGCTAGCGAGCTAGCAAGCAAGCAAAGATAAGTGGTGAACACGCAGGGACCGGGCGGTAGGTAGCTCTGCGGATGTGCGGATGGGACAGCCGGAGCGGGGGTGGGGAGGGAGGCGGAGAGAGAGATCGCGTGCGAGCGAGGAGATGATATTGATAAAGACCTACGAAAGGCACGGGGGGGAGAGGAGAAGCGGCCAAGAAGATACACTGAACTTGAGAGGCAATCAAGCAACTATCGAGGAGACGCCGTAAAGATAAGAAAAGGAGAAGAGGAGAAAATCTGGAAATGTTTGAGAACGGAAGAAGAGAAGTTCAAAATTAAGGCTGAGGCGGTAGCTGCCTGCTTAGTTGTTTGATGTAGACTGCAGGCAGCCAATGGAATCGATGTGCAAGGTGAGGTGAGTACGACATAGAGTAAGACGGGGGCTGACCTTGTGTGCCATTGAGGTACCTACAGCCTGCACGGTACCTTGGCGGGCACATAGGTAGCGAATAGAAGCATCCATACCAGACATTTCATGGTACGATAGCTACTAAATGAAAGATGATGACTTGAGCTGTACAGTACGCAAAGATAACTCTACTATGATGAACCCACCAGGTTTCAGAAGTTCACAATGCTGCAGTCACCTCAAGCTCAATAATATTCATGGTATACATCTTGAAAAGACAATGGAGCTATGTAATCCTGTGTTACTTTCAACCAGAGCTTAACACATCAAGAAAAAAAAAAGAGTCATCCGGGCAGTCAAACTGGAGCTACTTTACCCAGGCTAGGCTCCCAGCTCACTCGGCGATTTAACAGAGCTCCAGATATCACCATGTCTCCCGCCTGCGCCCCTGTAAGATGGCAGCTGCCTCATGCACTGCCACGAGACAATAACACATTGGATGATAAACCTGAGGGGACAGACTTCAATTGGCTGTAACATGTTGTCTGCAAGAGATGACTTGCCATTGACGGTTGATGTTGAACAGGGGACCTTGATTGTGTGGCTCTGGGCTTGTTTTCGGGGTCCATACCAGGTAAGCATAAGGTAGCTGTCAACATTCACTG